TTTGAGGGTGCAGTGAGCTGTGATCACAACAATGCACTCCAGCCTGGGCAACACAGTAAGACCTTGTCTCTTAAAAAAAACAAAACAACAATAAAAAAAACCAAAGTCCTGGCTGCAATCAGAAAAACTAAGGAAAAAGAGAAAGACTGAAATTGATTTCAAGTCATTTAAATCCTGAAGAATACATGTCTCTCACATTTCTGCCCCAGCAGAGAGCATCTGTCCTTGAGGAGCTGTTCCAAGAGCTCTGGGAGGCAGTGGACGAAGTGAGAGCACTGGACAGTTTGGCCAGGAGCTGGCTGAGTGCGTGTGGACAGTTGCTCCCTCCTCTGGGACTCCCTGCTCGGAACGACCACCACCTCTGCAGACACCCATGACATTGCAGGGACGAGGCAGAATCTGGCTAGTAGTCTGACACATTAGCCTCGGTCCTCCACATTTTCTGTAAACCATCACCAGATCCAGAAAGAGCCAACTCCTTTACTAAGAAAGAACTGGATATCATACTTTTTCATACATCTTAATTTTAAATCTCAAAAGGATACAAAAGTTTAAAATTTCCTTTTCCACATCCTTTAATGAAAGAGCATTATGTAGTACAGTTATAAAAGCTGAAAAATAAATATATTCATCTAAATGCCTTTTGTCTCACCAAGTAAAATTTCTCTTTTTTTTGTACCGTGCCTGGTTTAAGGTATGAAAGCACTAACAGCAAAACAATGTCACCTCTTACCACTGGAGTTGTAACTATGCCTGGAACAAAAACCCCAAGGAAACTTAAAGCAGCTTTAAAACTGATGTTTTAACTGGATTAAAAAATTTTCAGCAGGCAAAGTGCCAACAAACCTCTCACAGAAAACAAAAGGGGGCCAGGTGCAGCAGTTCGTGCCTGTAATCTCAACACTTTGGGATGCTGAGGCAGGAGGATCACTTGAGACCAGGAGTTTGAGACCAGCCTGGGCAACATATTGAGACCTTATCTCTACAAAAACAAATATATAAGTAAAAATAAATGAATTAGCCAGGCCTAATGTCACACGCCTGTAGTCGCAGCTACTAAGGAGGCTGATGCGGGTGGATCACAGAACCCAGGAGTTCAAGGATGCAGTGAGCTATGATTGTGCCACTGCACTTTAGGCTGGGCAACAGGGTGAGATCCATTTCTAAAAAAATTAAAAAGAAAGAAAACAAAAGGGCAAAAATCACAGTTTTTTTGTTGTTCTTGTTTGTTTTTAAATAAAACACAGTAAGTACAAACTAGAATAGTCAACCCAGGCTTCTAAGGCAAAAATTCAAGTGCTTTATCTTCATAAAGTCCTTTTCTTTGTATCTGTACTTCTTCCTAGCACCACCTTCATAAACAAACAGATTAAGTTTAGCCAATCAAAGAGAAAATTAAACCAAAGGGAGAAATCTTTAGAGGACTCTGGAATTTAATCCACACATTTTGGCATCCGCATTTTTTCTGTCCTTGTAAATCTTTTTGATAGTCAGATAAAAGAAAACATTAATGAATGTATTTTAAGTAGAGCTATTCAAAATAAAGTTCCTATCCCTACGTGAAAACTAGTCCTTTAAATCTATTAACTCACTACTATTACTGTTCATACACATTCTTTCCTATGCCAATAGGAGACCCTTTCCAAATGATAAGCACCTTGAAACCCACTTGACTTTAACAGACTATATACATATATTAGGAACAACATCAGAGACTTGGTCTGGTTCTAAGCTGTCACTTTAAAGCAAAGGATGTTCACAGCTCCACTGATACGGACTCAAAGTACAACAAGCAGAGCACTGCCTCCCCTACATGAGCTGGCATCCTCTTCCCTTCGGTCCAACCACCTACAGGGCCACAATGGGCACAACTTCCTATGGTCGGAACATGCAGACTTCCCTGCACCTCCTGAAACTCTTCTGCTAGGAGCAACAAGCATTCTAAATCACCTTGCAGGACATGGACTTCCTCCTTGGAAGGCTCCAGCACAAGACCCTTAACCATCTTAAACAGTTTTTTCTTATTGTTTTAAATACCGAGCACAAGCCTAGAGGATTTATTCAATAGGTGTCACTGTGAGAGCAAGACTAGGCATCCAGCTAAGTATCTCAGGGCAGCCGCCTCTCTTTCGCAACTAGTTTCTTCATCTATAAAATGAAAGAGTCAATGTGATGTTTTTTTTCTAAGGTCTCTTCCAGGTATAATCTCATGAGATTCTACTCACAGGGGATTCTGGGATGCCTTAATCCCAACAGCTAATTACAGGAGAATCTAAAGTTCACAGGTTTATACTTAAATATTTTCCTTGCAGAAACTTTCTTAAAATTATTTTGTCAACTCTTCGTAACTAAGAACTGTCTTATAAGCAAACAATCACTTACCTACAAAGGAGCAACCCCAATCCCCATATTCTCCAACTGAGAGCTTTTTTGCAATACACCAATTTCATTTGGAACAATCTTGTGACTTGAACATAATTTTTTTGATCTTTTTCTCTACTAACCAGCAGAAAAACAATGCAAGTGTATACCATCTATCTCGTGGCTATCAGAAATTTTATTCTGTACAGAAAGTCATTCTATAACCCGGGGTCATCTAACTCTTTAAAGGCACACTGTTTCAAAAAGACCAGCTGATCTTGAAAATGCATTATTCATAAACCTAGTTTTTTAGTTAAATTGCCTTGTGTCCATGTGAGTACTTAAGCAAAACCATTTTCAGTATAACTTTCGGGCTATAGAACTGAGGTAATTTAACACACGGGCACACCCCTCTCTTCTCAATGCCACTGCCCTCTAGCTGTAAAAATGTAAATCAACAGAAGCATCAAGAAGCACCTGTAAGTCTACCCTCATGGTGATGGCTAGTGACACCCCTCTCAGACTATGGGACACTTGACACAACACACGGACTCCAACTCGTCTAAGTTAAAATTGGAATCAAATGCATTTAGATGTTGAAGAAGGTGGCAGCAACCGAAGAGCCTAAAAGCTCCTAAAAATGACAAAGACCCAAAAAGACACTCTGACACTCATGAAAGAAGTTTACAGAAGTAAAAAGAAATCATACTAAAATTTACCTCAAAGGAAACTTTCAGTACAATTTTGAGACTCACTGTAGTAACTACTATTCAGAGTAAATTAGTCACAAGTCAAACTTGTCTTTTCAAGATACCAGTACTGGCACCCTAAGAAATGGGATGGGGGAAAAAAACTGCAAGGAGGCTGCACTGTGTGGAAACTTGCAAAATATCACTCTAGGAACGATTGTCTGTGGTTCCGTTTGCTTCTTGTTGCGCTATCTGGGGATGGGAAATGTCTCTCTAGTTAACATCTGCATCATACATATTTAAAACAAAATCTTAATAAACAATCCACAGCAAACCTACAAGCCATTTAAAAATGCTTTTAAGTGAAGTAGAAAAAGTGATTTTAAATGGCTTTGATGTACCTGAATGATCTACTGTAACACTTTCATCACAATAGGGCGAGCTGGTTCACACATTCCTCTAATCCTCGACATGAAACACAGGTGCTCGACCTCCGTTGCAACATCCAATTACAAATAACAACTCTGCTCCTGGGTTCAAATGTAAATTTATCTCGCCACCAGCATTGCTACGGAAGTCTTCCAATGAGGACAAGACATCCTCAGAACCTGCGACGTAAAGGACACACTAACTGTCAGAGAATTTCCCCACACGTTCCTTCATTTTAAAAATTTGCAGGTCTCATGAGAAGTGGCTGACTGTCCAGCCGTTCCAACACAACTCTCCACAGAGGCAGCCACTACTAGGACAAGTGTCACCAGAGCCGAGCCCGGCGGGCGCCTGCTCGGACTTGGACACTTGCTAGGTCCACGTCAGTTCTCAGGGTGAACCGCGCCCCCAGCTGCCCGCGCAGCGACCGGTCTCTGCCTCCGGCCCCGCGGGCACTCGGCGGCCCGGGGGTCTGTCCCCTCCCTCGGCCCCGGCCGCGTCCCCGGAGCCGCTCCGCCCGTTCGGGGCTGGGCCCAGCTGCCTCCCCTCCGCCCCGCTCCGGCCTCCGCAGCCTCGCTCCGCCGGCCGCCCTCCGCCCCGCTCCGCCTGCGCTGGCCTCCTCACCAGCGCGGCCGGGGCGGCTCCTCAGGAACCGCGAGCGAAAGCCCACCCGGCGATGGCGACGAGCACAGACACGGCAACCGCCGCAGCCATCTTGGCACATCCGGCTCCGGTCTCCGCGGCCGCCGTGCCGCCGACGTGTCCGGCCGCGACGTCAGCGCGCGCCACGCCCCTCGGCGCTTCCGCCCCGCCCACCCCTGATCTCTTTCAGGCCTCCACCGCTCGACCCTTGGCCCCGCCCCTCGCCTGCGTTCGTCCTTCATCGCCTCATCCCTTGGTCCCTCCCCATTTGCCCCGCCCCTCGCCTGTCCCCCGCCCACCTATGACCCCGCCCCTTGCTGCGTCAGTCCACCGCCTCAGCCCTTGGCCCCGCCCATCTCCTGGCCCCGCCCCTCGCCTGCATCCGTCCACCAGCCGCCCTTGGCCCCGCCCCCACGCAGCATCTGTCCACCGCCTCAGCCCTTGGTCCCGCCCCCCGCCAGCGTCCGTCCGCCGCCTCAGCCCTGGGCCCCGCCCCTCGCCCACCTGCCCGGACCGAGCGCGCTGAGGCCGCCCGGGCCGTGGCCCTGGTTGCGCTGGCTCTTTCTCCTAGTCTTTTTTCGTTTTAGGATGTGAGAAGACACGAAATTCTTCAACCAAGGCCCCAAGGCAAGAATCCGTCTAACGGACTGATGCAAGCAGGCTCTCGCAGCGAGAACGACTACTTGGCGGGGCCGAGACCTGCGCGCGGCCCTGACGCGTGCGCGCTCCTCCCATTCTTCCGTTGGCCTCGGAGGCCGGCGGGCGGAGAGCGATTACGCATGCGCCGCGCCGCTGATGGCCGACTGCGCCTGCGCGCCTCGCGGCCGGGCGCGCGCTGGTTGCCTGGTTACGGCTTTCGGCTTCGGGCTCCGGTCTGGCGTTTGCAGCGGGTTTTTAGCTTCAGCGGACCCCTGTGGAGCGTCGCGGGGCTTCCCCGCCCTGGCAGGGAGCGCGGCCCGCCGGCGCCCGCCCTCACCGCGCACGCAGCCCGGTCTCCACGAGCCGCGCCGGGACTCGGCCCGTCCACTCTTTGTCGCGTCCTCCGCGCCGGCCCACCCCTGCCCGAGCGCTCCCGGACAGGGCAAGACGGGCCCGGTTCTCCCAGCCCTGTGGAGCGGACATCAGTGTGGAGCGAGCCCCGGCGCTTGGGCGGCCTCCGAGCTCCCCAGAGACCCGGCGAGGCTGGTGGAGTCAGCCACTGGCCCCTCCCGTCGCCTTACCTGGTCCCCGGTGCCACCCAGGCCAGGCACCCTCTAAGCCCTGCCGTGGGGGATGTCAGGGAAGAGGTGGGTGCTGTCGTTTGTATCCTCATCTTCGGAGTTGGAAAGGTAGGCTCGGCAGGTGAGGATGCGGGCCACTAGGCCCACCCACTCCCCTGCACACCTGCCTGGCAAGGACTGGGGAGAGCAGCGGCCTGCCCTCAGCTCCTTTCAGCGGGCAGGCGCGCCATTCATTGCATGGCCCCAGGCTGAGCTCCCAGGGCCGGCTGAGGCCCACCCGGGGTGGGAGACACGCTGGTCTCGGAGGGACCGAGATTCTGGGGAAGGAGGGAGTGTGGTTTGTATGCCACGATGGCAGATGCCCAGGCGATGCGGGAGAGTTCAGCCCCGCTGACGTGGCACCAGGGCTGCTCTGCTAAGCTAACATTTGCTTTTCAGGAGTCAGGTTCCCAATCTGTTTCAACATACAGTTAGGGAACACGTGGTAGGGCTCACCCTTGGGCCACCTAGGAGAGACAACAGTGACACCAGCCCCTACTACCCTTGAGCCACTTCCCTGGTGGTTGAGGTGCTCTGCAATCACTTTGTCCCAAAAACCCTCCCGAAAGGGTGGGAGGAGCAGAGGCAAAGCTCGGACTCTCTTGGGCTCAGGGCTAGCTCTTTTTTGCTCTCAAGTTGAATTCAGAGAGCCCAAGACCTGGGAGCCCAGGGCTTGCTCCTCTGGTGTCCTGGGAAGCCATGTGGTCCTGCCCTGGTGGCCTCTGACTTGGAGAGACCATAAGCTGCAGAAACCCACCTTGCCCTGGGAATAAAATGCAAGGTCTCTGGACCCCAGCGCAGGACCCCTAGGGCAGGGATGTTGAAAAGGCAGCATTGTGTTGACTCCTAGAGGTGAATTTAAGGAAAGCAGTGAATCAGCAAATCCTCTGCAAGGGCCTTGGGGCTACCTTTCTTCCCCTATCCCCTCCCTAATCCTAAGAGTGGAGACAGCCAGTCTGTCCTGGCATGGAGTAGAGGGTTCTTGCATCCTACACTCAAGCCCATCAAGCCTCTGGGCCATAGACCCACCAGTTTAAGGCCCAGCCTGCCACCTAGATGCTATGTGTTCTTTGTCAGCTTCCTTAACTTCTCTGAGTATCAGGTCCTCATCTCTCAGATGAGATAGGATGAGCACCTGGACAGTTGGGGACTGAAATGGGGTGCTGTTGGTATGTATGCCAGGACAGGGGGCATGAACTGGGACTGTCTGGGGCAAACAGGGATATAGGGTGACTCTGGCTGCAGAACACGCAGGGCCTGCACCTAGAAGGTACCCTGCCACCATGGCCATCATTCCTGGTTAAGCTTTTCTTTGCCTGCAGCATCCACTGGTCTCTCCATTCTCCCAATCCCCCCACTCCCCAGCTCACACATGGAGGCTGGAAACAAATATCATCACCTCCCTGAAGCCCCCCAGGTGGGCCAGAATCGACACCGGGTGCAAAGTTCTGTGGCCACTGCTGTAGAACATTGTGCAGAGCACACAGGGCGCAGAGCTTGTGTACATCGAGGCTGTGCCAGAAAACCTGCCCCTCTTGAGGGAGGGGCAGCAGTCACAATGAAGGCAGGATGGCCCTTCACTATGAGCCTCTGCCCCTCCTTCCTACGAGGCATAAAGTAGCAGCCATAAGTGGTGGTTGTGGTTTGTGGGGTTTGCGGGGCAGGCCTGTTTCATGCCTGGCACTGTGTTCAGCCCCTGGCACAGCCTCTCAGGCCTGGACGCTGAAGCTGCAGAGGAAGCAGGTTAGGAGGCAGAGATAGCTGTGCCTTAGAGCTTGTTCTGCGACATCCGTTCAGCAGGCTCCTGCAGTGTGGGGCCATGTCTGTGTGCCACCCAGGTTGGCTGGAGGGTGGCCAGGTGGAGTGTGAGGAGACGGAGACACCTCTGGGACATGGTGGGCAGTGTGCAGGAAGCCCCAGACCCACTGGCCTCCAGGTGCTCAAGGTCACAAGGGAAGGGGTGCCAAGCACACAGCAGAGGGCCCCAGACAGGTGCCTGTGTCGTCACTGCTCTTACTCATATCTGAGCCTCGGTGTGTGCTTGTTGGGGGCATGGAGCAAGACAGCACGTCTGTCTGCTCTGTCTGGGCCTTCCCAGGGCTGACATGGGACTGAAAGGAAGCCCCACCCTGGCAAATGTTCCCCTGCACTGGGCTGCGGGGTCCTGGCACCAGGGATGCATTTCCCTTTACGTGCCCACCGTGGCTAGCAGTGCACAGATAAGATAGTTCCAGCAATGGTTGGCTAATTCCTGTGTCCAGCTGTACGCTTGGCCACCACCCAGGTGTACAGCCTTGGACAAGCTACCTGGGCTCTCTGAGCCTCTGTTTCCTTGCTTGTTAAAGGAGGTGATAATCTCACCCTGTCCTGGTCCTCCTCTGAGGACTTCCTGGAACCATCCTCACGAGGTGGCAAGGGGGAGACCCAGGCCAGGCATTACCCGCAGCCTTGTGGTTGGCATGAGCATTGCACTCTTTCATCTCCAGCATCCTGAAACGTGCTTGGCACATAGTAGGTCTCAGAAAACATTTCTCTTGAGTCATTGAGCCAAGTACTAACCATATGAGATAATAAATAAACGATGAAGACAAAGTGGAAAGCCCCAGACAGATATCAATTTCACACCAACTCTGCCACAGATGCTCAGAGCTGCAGGAAGAACTGCCTGGTGTCCCTTTAGCAGTGGGGGCCCTGGACCGGCCCTGGACCAGCCCTGGGAGTTTTCCTTCCCCAAACTGCATCAGACGTTAGCTGAGCCCCTGCCACATGGCAGGCACTGCTAGGAGCTGGCTGCTGGGAACATGGTCAGTGGACAGCTGCAGGTGGGCCTGGTGCAGGTGGGGGGCAGCCTGGTGCAGGCCATGTGGGGCAGTGCAGCAGCTGCTGGGGAGGGGCAGGGACGAGGAACAAGAGCACTTCTGTCTGAAGTGGGGAGTCTACGTGAAGCTTCTGCAGGGCAAGGGGCCAGGCGTGGGTGGCATGGCTTCTATAGGCCCTGCTAAGGGATTTGCATGGAAGCAGGGGAAGCTTGTGGAGGTTTTTCAGCCAGGAATGACCTCCCGATCAGTTTGGCCTCCCGAAGGTCTCTGGCTAGGCACTAGGGAGAGCCAGGAGCCTGGGAGGTGGTCTTGGTGTGCCCTGGGCAAGAGACAAGTGTTCTGGGACTGGACTGGTGGGTCGAGCTGAACCCTGGGCGACCCCCAAGGGCAGGGACCCAGCTCTCTTACTGCAGCTGCACCTGCAGCCCCCGGCACAGCACGGGCTCACACACGTCAGTCAGGTGGACAGGCACAACAGGAAGGCAAGAGCCCTAAACACTGAGTGGTGATTTAAGTTACAGGGCTGGGGGGACAGTGGATAGGGAAGCGAAGAGGCCCCAGGTGTAGCTGGGAAGAGCGCCAGTATCTGGTGCCAGGCTGGCCACAGCATTAACTCCTGACAAGGTGACCTGACAAGCTCCTTCTCCCTGAGCATCTGTGTCTCCGTCTGAAAGATGACAGGGCTGGATGACACAGGCTCTTCAGGTCCTCCCAGTCCTCTGAGGGGAGGCGACCCCCCATGTGGTTATGAGGACATGCACCTGGGAGTCACAGGGCCCTGGCTCAAATGGGTGAACTTGGCAAAGTCACTTAACCCATTTGAGCCTAAGCTTCCTTACCTGCAGAGCAGGGCAATGCTGTCGAGGCCAGGCATGGTGGCTCATGCCTATAATCCCAGCGCTTTGGGAGGCCAAGGTGGGAGGATCACTTGAGGCCAGGAGTTTGAGACCAGCCTGGGCAACATAGTGAGACAGACCCTGTCTCTACAAAAAATAAAAATAAATTTTAAAAAAGATGCTGCTTTGACAGTTGTCATCATCACCAAAAGTGGGGGAAAAAATAACGCTGTCGAAAGGGATGACCGTGAGCCTTAGGTGAGGTACTTGTGAAGCTTGGAGCCTCACCTAAAGCCTCCAGGGTTCCAGGTCAGGGGTGGGGAACCTTTTCATGTTGGAAGCCACATTAATTTAGCTGTAATCAAATAAGGCTGCATTCAAGAAACTTTAATTAGATATACTTAAAAATGCACATTATTTTGTAAAACTCTAGTATGTACTTAGTAATTTCAAAAAATAAAAACTGTTAATTTTAAAGTTAACTAATCTTTTAGAGACTGTGTCGTGTCTGCTTTTTGTTGGAAAGCATTTCGATATGTGGTTGCAGCGTGGAGGTCCACAGTTTCACTGGATCCTCTAGATGGGCGTCAGTCATCTGCGACCTTAAGGGCGTCTTGCTCTGGCTCAGGCAGGAGAATGCGGATTCGCAGCCGTCAGGGCTGAAAAGCAAGAGCATTTTCAGGCATGTTGCTGGAGGCGTGGGTATTCCACTGCATTTTTCCATATTCCAACTGGATCTTTCTCAGCATCAAACAAGGACTTTAAAATACCATCTACTGAGAGCTCAATCAATTCCATCTGTAGTTCTTTAGGGGCCTTGGAGATATCAACTCGGTGAGGCCGAAATGCTAATTTGGGTGTGATGTCATGATTCTCAAAGTCAGTGAACCTTTCATTGTATTCTCCAATTAATATTAATAGGTCTGTAACAGCTGCATATTCTTCAAATGATTCGCATATATCATCCTGCTCATCAATGACCTTTGCTAACTGGGGAAAATGTTTACCCGAAATTTCCTTTTGAAGAAGAAGTATTTTGAAAAAGATAGCATTTTTTGAAATGCTTGGATTTTTAGCCACATATCATACACAGACTTAGTTTTACCTGGCAAAGAAGTATTCAAGTCGTTTTGATTTGACATTATCACACAGAAATGCTTCATTCCTATAAAAATCTTCTTTCAGTAATTCACATTGCTGATTCTGTTTTTCATAAAATTTAACTATCTGTTCTTGCAGAGATAAAATTTTGGCTGACACCTGTCCCTGCGATAGCCAACACACTTTAGAATGACACAGCAAATCCACACTGAATACCTCATTGTTCAGCTTTAGCATGTTACAAACCGATGATGCCGTGTTGCACTTGCACCAATACAGTTAACAATACTTATAACTTGTTGCAAAGTGTCATTTAAAATAGTAGCTTTAGCACAGAGATTTTGCTGATGCAAGATACAATGAGTGTATGCTTATACATACACTAACTAAATTTACCAAATTCAGTCCAACTTCACGACATTTATCTTGAAAGTTGTTGAAGGTATCTATTCCTCGTTTTCTGTTCCCAAGAGTGCCCAAAGCCAATTAACTCTTCGTAGCAAAGAAAATCTTGTTGTGACCCAGATGAAGTGTTGCGTGAAGTTCTGTTAAGTTGAAGGCTAATTCACGCTGCCGATCAGTTATGGTTCTCCTTGAAAGTGGCAGTTGTTTGTACTTTGAAACGTTATTGGGGTCTGAGCATCCTACAACTTGGACAGTGCATTCTTTCACAGTTCCTACGTCACTGAATGGCTTCCCTTTTTCCCCGAGTATGTGAGCTACTTCGTAAGTCGCTTCAGTGGCATTATTTCCAGGTCTTATTGCTGCCTGAAAGAACTGTCTTTGCTTTTGCTTTTCATCTTTTAATTTCTACAAACAACCTTTTGTGCCTTTCCCTCTAATTCAAAATATTTGTGGTCCTTATGAGTGCTATAATGCTGATGAGCATTGAATTTCTTTAATGTTGATACTGCAGCATCACAAAGCAAGCAAATCATCTTTAGCAGAAACAAGATAATATTACAATTCC